CACTGAAGCAAACTGCTGACACCTTTTTTAAAAAGTGACAACTACATCTATTTCATGACCAGAAATCCATTTTCATCTCTATCAAGACAAGAATGCAATTTTCACTTCATTTAACTGATGTTAGGCCTGCTCAAAGCATGACACTTAGAAAGAGACACAAGTTTAAGGTTCTTAAAATACTTCAAGTAACTAGAATGCAGCTTGGTTTCAGGAAAAAAAAATCAACAATCACTCAAATCTACAAACAACCTAATATTCTAAAAAAAATTACTTATCAGAACCTTCAGAAGTAGTTTTCATCTTGAAATGACTGTCACGCTATTTTCATGTTTTTAATAGTACATTGTGTTTATATATTATAGATTTTGTTCCAAGATTTCAAAGGATAATTAAGAAGTTTTTAAATATTGAAATATTTTAAGTGTTCTCACAGAAAGACTAAGTCAAAGAAACAGCTCAATTTTTAAAGTATATACAGAAAATAAAATAGAAATAGTTATTCATTCAATAATGTAGAACCAATAAATTATTTTAATTGACACAGGATCTGAAAAGACTAACTTTAAGCACTTTTTTTTTGAAAAATTAAAATACTAAGATTCCTTTTTAAATACTTTATGCAATAAACAAATTTTGTCAATAATAAATGTAATTCAAGCATATTTTGAGCTGAATCAATTCTGGATATAATTATATTATACTATTGTTTGATACCTAATTACCAAACTTATTGAAAGTGTGGATAAAGTGAGCCAACATTTACTTACACAATTTTTTAAACAAAATTTAAGTGCTTTGATAGAGCTTAGTTTTAGTATATTAACAAAATACATTTCAATTTTAAACTGCAAAAACAATATATACTGAAGCTAGATGGTTATTTCCTCATCAAATAATATGCCCACAAGATAAATCTGCAATATTGCTATAATTTAAAAAGTAAAACCTAATTTTTGAAATAGAAATTCAGTACCTGAGATCGCTAAACACAATACGCCAGATATAGAACTTTTACATATAGCATATATAACAGCATCCAAAAAAGTTAACTTGCTTAAATTAATAAACAAAAGAGACTACATACATGCAAAAAAATTTAAATTTAAATCACTCAGACCAAAAATTATATAATCCTCAACAAACTTTATTAAGTAATGATTTACTAGAAATAGCTCAAATACACATTTCTAAATTAAAATTACAGAAATAAAACATTTTCCCGCAACTTCAGACATAAATAGAAATTGCAGTGTTTTTCAATACACTACCAAAGTTTAGAAAATACCCCAAGAATTTAAGAAATACTAGAGAATACTTTGGTTTATTTATTTTGCTTTAAGTAATCAAATCAGCTAAAATTTAATCTCAAACTTAATCATTTTATTCCGAAGTGCTAAAAACTAGGAGTAGAATTAAAAATTTCTTAAAATTTCATAAATTCACAGATGCATTTTTTCATGGCTTAACGAAATCAGGGGCTATGACTCTCTTCCTAATTAAGATGGTGCTTATCATATTATAGTTAGATACTCGTTTCTCTTTTTTTCTCTCTGAATTTCAAAAATAACTATGCAATCTATAAGAACTGTTAGGTCATACTGTGAACAACTTTACATGATTAAAACTGAAAGTTTATAAGCGTTTTCAAAAATTGTATTAAAAAAAAAGTGCTATACATTCTTTTGTAAAAGTCTCCAGGAATTTTGTTGGTTTGGGGAAAAATTCAAACTTGTGAAGACATTTTCAGAAATGAGTGTTTCTCAAAAATCACATTTGTACTTAACACTGCCCATCAGCCATTCTGAGTCATTATTTGTATAGCTGCCTGGCACAGTTCCATACACATTTATGCATCTTTACAGTGTTTCTGAACAGACTACCATATTTTGTTTACTGACAGCAACTAAAAGCTCTATGTAGGATCATAAATAAAGAAGATCATGTTTAAAAATCACTAATATCATTTTAAAAGGTAGTGCAGCCTTGTGTTTTGGCCTCTGCTTAGCTGTGTTAGGCCTATGAATGACAGCTTCCCTGCTTGAAGCACACAGAAAGCACAGCCTTCCTCATTCACTGACAGGACTGTGGCCTTTTCACACGTTCCTTCCACAGCAGTGTTTGTCCCCAAACACTAGAACTCGACACAATGGCATTCCTACTTCAACACCCCCACCAACAGCACCACTACATAACAAGAATGCTAATGAGATGGAACAGGCCCTGTCACTGAAAGTGTTAACTACATTTCATAGGAATGCGTTTATGCAATTGCAAAGATTACCAATTAAATAGATTCTGCTTAGCTCCAAGCAATTTCTAAGATGTTTCCACTTTTAAGGAAATAAATGTGATAAATGTAAGACTAAGTGACTTTATGCTGTTCTAAATATAATATCTCATTTTAATACACACGAATCAGTATATATTTAAGACCACCCTAATGTAGTGTGCTTAATTCAGTTGCATGCTATAACAGCCAAGCTAAAGTTAAAAATTGAAAAATGAGTAAGTTCGTAAACATAAAACCAGTCGCCCTGACTTTTCTTTTAAAGCTATATTATTGCGATTTATTAAAAGAAATTTCCTTTGGGAATGACAAAATTTAAAGTTTATATTTTGACAGACATCAAGACAATATTGTTGTTTTTATATGTGATCTCAAAAGTGAAATAAATTGAAATAATATCAAGAAAAATCTAATCATATGATTTATAAACTTTAATTTGTTAAGGAAATAGGAATCATCACCTAACTCCATTTCACCTATCTAAAGATTCTTTAACACAATCTTATATAAAACTAAATAGAAAAGGCTATACCAAAGGTCAAATGAAGTAAGTGTAGTTCAAACAAAGTTCATTAATGCTTCAGAAGGATATTTGCTAAGAAATCCCACTCACAAATAAAGATATTGTCAGGCTTAACACCTAAGCATTGATGGTCTGATAAGGATATCACTATAGTGAATTCTCTAAACATTCAAATAATTTTAAATTAAGTCTTGGTATAACACTACAAAAGAAGAAAACCTCAAGCATACATAAAATAGAGCACATCTAAAGCAACAGAAATTTACATAAAAATGCATAATGAGCAAATTTCTGCTTATTTTTCTTCATTTTTATATTTCAAAATAAAACTTAAGTATCATATTAAAACTGCTGAATGGAAAGCTCTGAATTACAACTTAATGGAAGAAAAAAGCTTTAGGAGAAATGGCAGAGAGCATAGGTTTCAAAATATTCTTAAATTCACATAATGTTGAAATCTTTACAGATTTCCCAAACAGACAATTACAGAGACACTGAAAGGTTAAATTTTGTTCATAATTTAATATTTAATAAAATATGTTTTTCATCTATTTTGAATCATAAAGAAATTTTTTAATTAAAGCACTAAGTAATTCTGAAAGTATTTTTTTCTTACAATGCACACAGCTCTTTTAAATTTAGTATAGCAATTTATACTTATTTAAATTTTACATGTTTAAGACAGTGTAAGAAAAACATGCCATTACTTTCCGGGACGTTTCTTATTTCTAACACCCTTACTTGAAATAAAACTTAGAAAATGTTTAAATTTGTCTTTAGATTTTATTTAAACAGTGCTTTTCTTGAATTGGAGAATTGTCTCATTATTTCTTCTAACATTAAATAATTTTAATTTTCAGTAAGTGGAATCAAACCACATAATTTCAAACAAATTATTGTAATGCAATTCATCATGATCCATTTTACAATATCATTATATCTTAAAACGTAAATATTACAACTAAAATAATTTAATCTAAATGCAATAAAATATTTTATACTGGTTTCTATATATAATGGCTTAATAGAGAACATTAGTTTGGATTTTTATTTCTTTCATTGTATTATTACGAATAGCCTTATCTATTATAATTATTAACCCTGTTTCTGGATCTGCTGAAATTAACGAGGCAAACCAAACACATTTTGCGAAGTTTCGTGGGAAGATGTTTTTTGCTAATTCTGGATACCTTAGTACAACACTTTCTTCCAAAGTCAATACAAGTTGTTCTTTTCCAAACTCTACAGCAGGAGGTGCTGTGTGAACACTAAGACTGACAGCCCATTCCCACCTCCCCTTCCTCTCTGCAAGCAGAGAATAATAGCATGATGCTTTCAAAATATTCATTTTTCAGCAGTCTGTGGTCTCAGATAATGAGCCCAGTTCTAAACTGGAACCTCCCAGTTCAAAATGTAAAACCCAGTCCTTATTTAGCTTGGTAAAAATATGTGCTTCAATTCTTAAAACCAAGTACAAAGAGGATTTTTTAAATGTGGCAATTTCATTTTTATGTTATAAATGGCTTCGTAATTCTGCTTTACAAATGTGAATCATACTTTAAGATAAATCAAAAGTCCCTATACATGATTATAAAAATATCACCCTTTACACACACACATACAAATATGAAATAAATACACAGGAATTAAAGGACAAAATCCAGTTTAACCTGATTCAAATAAACTAACTCTGTTTGTATACTTTTGACTCCTGAAACAGAGAAGTTAAATAAGGATAAATGAAGTAAGTTACTCTTGACATGAAGTTGATTCGCGATTCCATTTTTCAGAATGTGATTTGTTGTATTCTAACCCCCATAAATCTGATTTTATGCTGGAAAAAAATAGAATGCTAAACATTTAAACCTTCAAATGACTTAGGAGCTATTTATTTTCTTAAAGTAATAGTTTATAGAATTTCCATGTAAGAAGTTGCCTTCACTTTGCCCAGTATGCGCTGCAAGAAAAGATGAGACATATGACATCTTATACCAAAAGACAGACACAATTAGCTCCATTATTGTTGGCTTTGAGATTACAGAGGCAGCATTTTTGGCTCCCTAACAGGCACTGAGCTCACAAAATACATGTCACAGTTCTTTTATGACACAATGCCAATCATTGCCTCTATACAACCAAGCACATTTTTAAAACATATAATAAAGCAATTTTTAAAGAGGGATGACTCACCTGTTTATAATATTTTTTTGTAGACTTTAATCGTTGGTACAGGGCCAAAAGAACTCCCTGAATGTACATCTTAGCTCCTGAGGGGCTGAAACCTTCTCCCTTAGAGACCCAAAGTGGTCCCCGCAAAGGTGTGATGGAATTTTGCAGGCATTTTTCAAGCAGAGGAACTATTCGAGAAAAGAAGGGAAAAAAATTCTTTTGACCCAACCCAACCGAAATACACTGCCTGGAACACAGCCCCAATACCAGAGCTAACTCTTAACATCTATTATTTATATCTGACCTGGGTTAAGTCTTAGAGAGGCAATTCCTGCGTTACTAGTGGCCACCATGAAGGATGTATTTATATTAAGACACCCCCCATGCAAGACTCATAAGCTTTGTGAGCACACCTGAGTAGTTCTGAAGTGTGCCTAACTAGCTGCACAGAGTGTCATGGTGTGCACTGATTGCCTTATCTTCTCATTTATCACAGATGAGTTGGAACCAACCTTGCTGAAATCTACTTGCATTGTCCTGATAAAATTGTAAGATCCATGTTGTTTCTGTATATAGCTTCTTGTAGAGGAGTCTATATACCTAAAACATCACATCTGGAAATTATTCATAAAATATAATCCACACCTTTATAAGCCATCCTATTTGAAGATTTTTGTTGCATTCCTTAAGTAACCCATACAACAGGATGGCAAGACTGTTTAAAAATAGCAGGGAGAATTTTAAGCAAGCAGTTTATCATACCTTTCTTTTTTCAGTTTCTGGAATATGAAACAGTCAAGGATTTAGGAATGCTATTCCAGCACGCGTTTTGTAAACAGATAAAAGATATTTACTTATGGGTATGTACTGCAACATCCACAAGGAGTTGACAAACATGTTCATACACTTTTTCACACGATTAGCTTATAAAGTCTTTCTAGTGTAAAACAGTCCAATAACACGGCAGCTAGCTAACATTTTTCAAGATTTAATTTTCCTCTGAAAAGCCAGAAATCAAGAAATAAAAATGGCACACTTGGGAATCCACAAAAAGTAAATATTTTTCTGTATTTGGTCATTATTTAAGTATATACATGTAACACAAACTTAAACATACATAATAACTATATGTATTGGCTATCTTATTCTGATACACATTTCTGCTAGAAAAAGGAATTAAATAGATCACCGACAAAGAAAATAGGTCCGGCAAAGAAAATAGGTCATGCTGTTAGTTATGTTATATGTTGCATATTTTATGCAAAGAGGCCTAGCATAGCAATCTGGAAATTGAATTACAATTAGGTTCAGCTGAGCTGCTGAGAGGCTGAGTTATGCAAATGGCCTTTGCTACTGGTATTCTGCTAAATTTTGCTCTTGGTAAAAAAGTTATGCATTTCATGGCACTAAGTTCCACAACTCTCTAGCAAAGCGTAATATATAGTCTGTCTAATATGTTCAACACTAAGGAGAATGTTGAAAACGGGGTTCAAGATTTTGCTACTAATATAGTATAAATAAAGTTAGGAGGAAATTATGAGCCAATGACTGCTGAAACATCTTCTTAGATGTATGCATAAAATTCACTTATTTAGCTTGAGAAACTAATTCCTGAAATTCATCTATCAACCCCATTTTTATACTCTCTTAGAGTAATTGCTTTTCTAAGTCTTATCATAACAAACACCTCAAACTTAAAAAAATATAAGATCATAAATATTATAAAAGCAATACAAATTAAAAGATAAATGAGCTTACATTCAGAATTATAACTCTTCAACCTTTAAAAAATGTAAAATATAAATCAATCTTGATTACAATTTTTTTCAAAAGAAACCTAGCTTAAGAATCATCAGTGCTTTTAGTTTATTGCTACACATTCATATATTACTATGCATTAGATTTTAATTCATACACCTTTAATTGGTATACTCATTGAACCTGCCATACTTTTTGAACACTGAAAGGCACGACATAAATAGACACTAAGTTGAAATAAAATTTAATAAATTGAGCAGTAGATGATAAGCTTGAATGATTTACACCCTAGAGTTAATCTTGAATTTAAACACGAGAAAATTTTATCAGATTCTCTATCTATGCTTGTCACAAAATAACTTTCAAATTCTTTATGTCAGCCCAAGGGACTCCAAAAAAAGCACTTACTAGATCTAACAACAAAAATTCTAGGTTTTTCAAAGTTTATACTGTCCATAAGAATTTTAGAAAAAAAATACAGCTTAGAAAAAAAATTAAAACTATACCACAGCATAAGCAGTGTCAGAATTGATACTGGATGGAAAACAGCTCCCATGTTCCACATGATTTATGTAATTAGGAATACTATGGAAACCAGAAACAGCAAAGCAAAGAAAGCAGTATTCACAAGCAGGTTTTATAAGGGACTTCAGAATCTGCTCTGAACTTGTTGAATAATCTGTTCAGTATTCCAGAATCTCCCTGCTGGAAGCAGGGTCCTCATTATAACCACGAGAGCACTAATAAAGGTTAGCCTCTGAACTAGGGATTAGAAGGCTCTTTCTTTTTGGAAGCTGCAAACTAGTAACTTTGATGATCTTCTTGAAAAGGAAGACAAAGCACACTCCAAGAACAAACAATGTTTCCACTAACTAGGAAGGTACAGAAAACATAAGAAAATGATACGCCTAAGTACTTAAAAAGGATATATAAATCAGCCTATGTTATACTAAAAAATAATAATATTTATTAAGCAGTTAGAATTAAAGAACTGTCCATTTAAAAAGGAGCCTTGGCCTAAAATGTACTTTTAAAATATTATTGAATAATTGATTTTTTAAAAAAAGAAGTCGCTTGACTTTTTAACCTTAACCATAGATTTTAACATGGATGTGAATTAGTTATTTAAGTGTTTTAGTGGATATTCCTAATATTCTATACCAAATCATAGCTCATAAGTACTCTTAACCAATGGTTTTCTTCTCTTTTATGTAGAGTTCCCTTTTTCCCTTATCATTTTTGTGTCCTTCCAACCATGTGCTTCTCTGTCTTCAAACTATTACGTAGAAATAGTGCCTCATTCAAGAAGGTTATCCTATGGTCTTTTAATATTTGTGTGCATAACAACACATAAACATTTCTTCTTATGCGAAAGGCCTGTATTACAGGTGTTCTACCTAGTTTCTCCTGTTCGCATGATTGTGGGAAGAACTTCTCTTTTCTGTATTTTCATTAAGCTAGCCCTCAACATTTCATATTAAATGGTTTGGAAGTTGATCATCCCTTAAATTTAGCAATTATGCATATATCAGTCAAATGGAATCATTTCACTGGGATCATTTCCACCCCTGGAAAGATGAAAAGCTATGTGGATTATTACTTTTTATTCCTTTTGTTTCATCTCAAGTTATGATTATATGGCAAAATGAAAATTAATCCAATCATTTCAATGAGTTTGGCGCTAAGACTGAGGCTGTTGATAACTCATATGACCAAAAAGAGTAACTTAACTGGACAGAGCTGGTAGTGAGCATCATGGGTAAACAGATTATATAAACAAAACTGTAGCTATATTAATTTCATAATTATCAACTAACACCTTTCTCACTCACACTGTTTCATTCCTTTCCCATTGTCTCCCCTCTTTTCCCACCTATTAATATATTCTTATCCTTCAAGGCTCATATCAAATGTTACCACCTCTGGCAAAATATCCTAAATGATTTAGGTGGAATTAATTGCTCCCTCCTCTATGCCTCCCATAGCATTCTCTCTTTTTTGTTGTTGTTGTTTTTTGTTTCTTTTTTCTTATCAATTTGTATTAGTTCATATCTTCTCCCCTCCCACTTTCATCCCCCAGTAAATCCTGAAACCTTCTGGAGTTTGAAGCCGTATTTTTTAGTTCGGTGAAAGCAGTGCTCAACAAATGTCTACTAGATGAATAAATGTTACTGCAGATACACTGTAGACAGTCTTCTGGGTAAGTTTTAAGAACATAACTATAACTATCTACGATCATTTAGAAACTGTAACTTTCTATAACCTAAAAAAATTTGATCCAAATTTGTTAAATAAACATGAATATTCCTGAATTTCAAAGCATTTTTAGGATGTGTGCAACTGTTTTTATTTTAATTTTCCTTATATGATTATGAAGACTAAGGAGGAAAATAAATATAAAAAGAAAGCCATAAGATTTGGGAAGGAAGCATTAACTAGACAGAAGGCCAGAGATGGGTAGTTTTTAGAAGTCCTTGGAAAACCCTTACATACTTTATCCTACCTTGTCAGAAATCATGCTTCTATAGAAAAAGGCACATAATAAAATTTAAATGCAGAGCAATAATATTAGATTAAGGTCAAAATAACTATTTTAAATAAAAAAGGTAATTTCTTCTAAGAACCCCAAAAACGAGTTCAAACGTTAAATAAGAAAATAAAGTGTTCAGTCTTCAAGAGGATCTTATATTAAAACTATTTCATCACTGATAAGAAGCGTGAACTTATTTGGGATACATAATGGAGGAAGTACATGACAAGGAACCAAAAATCCCTCTAAAGAGAAACCACAAAGCTAATCAAATTTGTCTATCAGATTTAGACTGGAATATTCTGTCATGATCTATACCTAGGGAATATATATCCCTCTCCAAAAGCAACATCCTACATTGAAAGGGCTACTTTGCATACTGCATTTCAATCTAATATGGAAAGCTACAAAGATCAGGATTTTTTATTAATAGCATTTCAGGAAGCACAGGGAATAATCAAAGGCTTTAATAACTTGCTTACAAAAAAAATTAAAAGTCATGACAATTAAATATCCATAACCATAATTTACATAATATTGTAATTTTCACATTTCAGTCAGAGTACATAAGACTATGAAAGAAAAGCACACTGCCCAGAGTATAGTTACCTATAAAGAAACTTTTATATACTCTTTGGCAGCAAGCTGCAGGTCCAACTTCTAAAATACTTGACTATTGCTAACAAGATATCACTTAGAAATACACCAAGGCATTTGGAAATTTCCCACCAGTTCAACTGGCTTTTTTTTTTTTTTTTTTTTTTTTTTTTTTAATGAAGTTGACCTAAAAAGTCTTCTTTGGTCAAAACAAAGTAAATTCTTAAAAGATACTTAGATGCGACTGCTTCCCAGTCCAGGAAGTATGACTGCAGGGAGTTTGAGCTAGTGCCAAGGTATGTG